TTTTATTTTTAATTGATCAATGTAAGAATACTTCCTTCACTGACTATATGTATCATTGTTTCTGCTAAAAAATAAAAATCTTTCTTAAAAAATAAAAATCTTACAAAATTATATATCTGTATTTAATAATATTATTTTAAGTCACACACATAATGCATATAATTTGTTTATTAGAAGTTTTTATATTTATTTTAAATTACATTGATTATACATATATGAATTTCATATTTTATTATATTTTAAGCAATGGTATCAGTCATTAGATGTTCCTGAAAATTGTGAAGATGAAGCCTTGAAATTAGCATTCGTCCAATTAGCAAAAAGGTATCACCCAGATAGTGGTTCACCAGAAGCTAGTTCATCCAAATTTATGGAGGTACATGTAATTCTTTATCTGCAACAATTTCTTATTCTTTTTATTTTGTGCCAACTATTTTCGTCACACAAATGAAATGATTAAAACCTTTTCTTTGTTCATTGTTTTGATCAGTTGATTGAAGTATCTATAACATTTTCGAAAATATGTATTTTAAGTATTTAAAGTATTTTTTTATTCATACAAGATAGTCATAAGTAACTTTTTTGTATAAATATTTGTGATCATTCGTAGATCAAAAATAAAATTACTAATAAAAGATAGAATAAAGTTACTAGATTAAAGTATACTAATGTGAAGAAAAGAGTTAAATTATTTTATAAATAATAAAAATAAATAATAGGTAAATATAGTAAATAATACATAATAAATAAATAATAAAGATAAATACATAATATAATTTACTCTTTATAATATCAGCTTTATTTTTAATAGATTGAAAATGCTTATAGACAAATACGTAAGGTAAGAATGGAACAAAAGAAAACATCTACATCTTTACCTGAAGTCGAAGAATTTGATATTAGAGTATGTATATTGTATTGTATATACAATATTCAATGGTTTTTCATGAGCAATGATTTATATTCATTTTTTTTTTTGGTAGCATACAGCTCCACAACATCGTCATTATTTAACTTATAATGTGGGAGTTGGAACATATAGTAAACGAGAAAAATTATATACTGCACATAGGGCTCAGAAAGCAGTTGATAATGTAATGGAGCATAGACTTAAGAAATTACAGGCTGAAGAACGTGATACCTTAGCTGGGAAAGATAAAGAGCGTGCAAAAGATATCAAAACCCGGTTTGGAATGGACCGTTTAGTAGAAGACTTGATACAAGATGCAATGAAGAAAGGTGAATTTAATGATTTACCGGGGACGGGTAAACCTTTGAAAGAAAATACAAATCTTCGAAGTCCATACGTTGACTTTGTAACATATAAATTAAATGAGGTATAGAAAATTATATTTTATTCGAAATTTAAAGTGTATTACAATACAATATTTATGTGCAGATACTAATAGAAAATGGATTTACTCCCGAGTGGATCCAATTATCTAAAGACATTAGAGAGGAAACTGAGAGTTTAAGAAAACAGTTAATTGAAAAACGAAATGAGGTTGGCCCCCTACCACTGAATAATAGAGACGAAGCTACTTGGAACAAAATTATAGAAAATTTTAAGTCTGCAACAAAACGTGTAAATAATAAAATTGATAAATACAATTTATTAGTACCTATACTCCAGAAACAAATGAATCATATTAAATTAGAATATTTAGCAAATGAAGCACTTTCTATGACACCAAAG